TGTAAGACAATAAAACCAGTATCCTTTCGAATGTTTTGTGTAATCTATGAAGAAACAAGGAATATTTCTAGGATCAATCTTTTTTTCAAAAGGGTTACAGATTTTGACCTCAGTAAAACAACCTTAGACTCAAAAATGGTTAAGACTTGGTTTTCCTGTTGGTCCATAATTCAAAAGGTATTTTTGGAATAGATTTGCTAAGAACCCTATTAAGAATGTATAAAGTTGTATTAATGGCTTCTCCCCAAAGATAATCACGTAAGTTAGACCTACTTATCATGTTCTTCATCATGTCTTTAAGGGTGTGATTATGTCTTTTAGCCACACTATTTTACTCAGGATTACCAAACATGGTATATTGAGCAACAATCTCACATTCTTGTAAGTACTTGGCAAATGTTTCAAATGCTGTCCAAACATGTCATGTTTGTCATAATACTCACCACCACGGTCAGACCTAACAATTTTGATGACTTTCCCTAATTTTTTTTTTTAACTTAGTCTTGAAAATTTTAAATTTTTCAAGAGCATCAGATTTTTCATTAATCAAATAAATATATCCACAATGAAAGAAATCATCAATAAATGTAATAAAATATTTATTATCACACAAGATACATGAGTAACGTCCACTGATGTCAGTGTGAATGATTTCTAAAAGATCTAGACTGCAAGTTGTACTTTTCTTCTTAGTCTTAGTCAATTTACCCCTATTGCGGTCACTACAAATTTCAAAGTCTCCAAAATCAAAGGGAGGAAAAATATCATTCTTTATTAATCTTACCACTCTTTCTCTAGAAATGTGACCTAAATGTTTATATCACAGTTGTGAAGATTTTTTTTTTACTGGGAGGTCTATTAAATATAACATTCACAACATTTGAAAGATAATAATCATTATTAATAACCAAACATATACTATACAGACCATCTAATAAAACACAATGACCAACAATTTTAGAATTTAAAGACTATTGAGTTTTACAATTACTAAAATGAAAACAGTATCCAATTTTATCAAGCAAGGAAACTGAAATCAAATTTTGCCTAAATTATGGCACATAATAAGTATTTTCTAAAACAAGTTGAAAACAAGTGTTTTAATTTAACAAGTGTGGGAGCTTAATATGGACTTAATATGGACTTCATTATTATTTCTTACTTTAAATTTGACTTCCTCTTCACCTGACCTCCATTTGTTTGTGAATTACTGCAAAGTCATAGCAACATAAACAGAAACCTCACTACCAATCCACCAAGAATTTAATAGGAAATTAACTAAATTGAATTCAAAACAAACAAAGGTTAGTGAGTTACCTTCTTCTTTATTCTTCTTTTCTAACTAAGATTTGAATCAAGTGCACTCACTTTTCTTATGACATCATTTTTTGCAAAAGCAACACTTGATATCTTTTCGAATGATAGCCTTAGGACCTCCCAGATTCTGACCAATACCATGCCTTTTGAAATCTTGACCATTCTTTGGAGCATAATATTTAGATTTTCTATTATTTTCCTGATACCCACCTTTGAAATTAGATTTAGACTGAGAAACAAACAAGACAGTTTCACTATTTTCTTTCCTAAGTTTTTTCTTCCCTTGAATCACATTTGGAGATAAGGTCATTTATTGTCCAAGACTCATTTTGGGTTTTGTAGGCAATTTTGATTTGACTAAACTCGGGAAGCAAAGAATTAAGAATGTGATGAACAATGAAATCATCAAGAATAACAATTTTGAAAGTTTTGAGCTTAATTTGAATATGGATCATTTTAAGGATATACTCCCTAATACCACATACATTGTCATATTTTATACTCGTTAATTCATTTATTAAACACCCAACTTCAATTTTGTTGGATACCTTGTATCTTTTTTCTACAGCAGTAAAAAACTCCTTGGCATTCTTGATTTCAGGTAAACCACTTATACAGTGTTTAGAGATAGACGTTTTTATGGTAATCAAACTCAGTCGATTAGAATTCTCCTACTTTGCAAAAATTTCTTTTTCTTCAAGAGAGCTCTCACTTGTAGATTTTGGAGGTTCATTCTCTTTTAAGGTGAAGTCTATATCAGCAATTCTCAAGGCAAATTAAATATCTTGCTTCCATCTCTTACAATGTTGGCATTATTATTATTCAGAGCAAAAAAGACTGTTCAAGGCAACGAAAATATAAATAGTTAACAAAATTGAGTAATAAATAAATAAAATGCACTTTGAACTTAATAAAGTCATATTTTATTACGAGCGTTCAAATATATCACTACAAACTCTCATTTGGAGTAAATAATGCAATATGTTATATGTCATTTCCTTCATGAAACTAACTAATGAAAATACTCAAATTTCAAAAAATACATCCATTTTTGGCAGATTCTTGACTATTGCATCTCTATCATAATGTTTCGTGACATCTCCAAATTACAATACACAATAATCTCATTTGGGCAGGTAGTTGTATATTATAATTTAGAAACCATCTCGTAACAAAAATATGAGAATAATCTGCAAATTTCAAAAATTGGACCACTTGGTGACAACCCATCCATATTAACTCATAGAATTTTTCAAATCGGGATTTTATAACAAATTATTCATAATTAAATATCATATGATCAATCAATATGAGATACTAATCTACATGTACCTCTATAGATCACTTAGCATCAATCGTTGCATTCAAATCTTAATTATATATATAAAAAATAAAAATTAAAGTTGTGAAATTAAATAATATAATACCACATATACCAAAATTTATTTTAATAAATTACAAACATCACGGAGAATAGTATACATTAATCATAAAAATTTCAACATAAACATCACAGTTGCCAAATAAATCTATGCTTATTATTTTAAGTCACATTCATATATGTGTTATGTATATACAAAAAATTGACTATTATGAGATCATGTCAATTTGATTAAAGCAGCCGCCATCACATGTTTTCTCTCTCTTTTTTTTTCCTTCTTTAATGCTCCATTTGGTATGATGACAAAATAAAATGATAAAAAGTTGGAAGGATTAAAAGTTTGAGGGATGAATAAAATAGCATATTTAGTAAGGAATGAAAATAGGAAGGATGAAAAAGTTGATAGATTTACTTTCTTTCCAACTCATCAATATCAATCCCTCCAAAATCAGAAAAAAAATGAATAGAAAATTAATTATTTGTGTTGAGATGTATCTTATTTATCTATATATTATGTATATATTAATTTCATATTAAAATATAATGATAAAATATATATATATATATGTATATATATAAACACATACATTAAATAAAAAAGAATTAAAAATAAAATTAAAATTTTAAATTAAAAAATATTTTTTTCATCTTAACTAGGAGTGAAATTTTTTGAATTAACACAATTACACGATTCGAACTCGATACAAATTTTATGACACGAACTTGAAAATGACTTGACACGCGATCAAGAAATATAAAAGACTCATAATTTTATAATTCAACACGAATTTGACACAATACGACTCAATTGTCACCCTTAATCTCAGTCAGTACAAAAAAAATTAAAAAAAAAAATTTAGTCATTTTGATTTTCCATCTATCTAACCAAATACAAAAGAAGGAAAATGTATCATTCCTATTTTTCATCTTTGAAGGATAGAAAATGTATCCCTCCTACTTTCCATTATTCTTACCGGAGCATAAAAGTGATGGACGCTTTACACAGCCTTTGTTTCAACATGTCCATTGACGGCCACTGCATGATTAACGGATGTGTGATTTGAGAAAAATCAATGTTGCCAACGGCAACAAAAACAGTTTTTAAAATTCTCAACTTGTTTGAATAAAATTATAAAATAAATTTTATTAGATTCTAAATTCATATACGATGACTCTAATACCACATGTAAGAATTTTAATAATTCTTATATAAAATTTAAAATACCTAAATTACAAGGTTTAGATCATACTTGTGTGAGCTATGATAATCGATCTCCGAATTTTTTTCGCGGAAGAGTAAGGGATTCCTCTCCTTCTTCAAAATAATAGGCGGTTCTCAATGGAACAAGCCAAATTAGGTTATGAAGTGAAGAGGTGACCTAGCCTGATATTTATAATGAATCTAATAGGCTATCTCATTACGGGTCACTATTAGATTAAGACATATACTTAACCACGTCAACCACATCAATTAAAGAGATGTACATAAGCTCATCAAAATAGATCACTTAAAAATATTGAACTTATCTCATTGAATCATAAATTCAACATGTTTTTCACAAACCCAAAATTATCTATAAATTAATGAAAGTCCGATATGAAAAAAATTCTAACATCCCTATCATTTAAATTGTTACAAAAACTAAAATCTCAGGCAATTGAAAAAGAATTCGACCGTGCTAAAGAAGTAACACTATGATCATCCCCCCTCCCCCCCCAAAAAAAAGGAATATATATATATATATATATATATATATATATATATGAGAACAATTAAGTAGCCCTAAGAAATGAATGTTCAAGGATTTCGGTAGATTCTCCTATCAACCCCACTAACATCCCTCTCATTAGCCTCCAAAACAAACTACTTTTAATTACAAAATGCTATAATGAATTTTGCTCCATCGGAGATCTCCAAACCCATTTTCCGACCAAAGCTTCATTTCTAGCCACCAAATTTATCACGGAGAGTCCCCCTTTTTTTCTTCATTTCCTCTTTTCAATTATTCACATTTTATGATTTTTTTGGGCATTGCTTCCGCCTGGTCGTGTCTCCTATGATCTACATTTCGTGCAAGCTCTTCAGTGAAGAAAGGACTTGGCCTTCACCCCGACCACTCTTATGGTGGATACTGCTTTTCCAGTGAACCTGCTTTAAAAAAAGTTTACTTATTATGTGAGAAAGAATTGATGAATTAGACTGCCCATCTTGTTATCAAAACCTTGTCTTGGTTTGATTCATATAAACAACATCACTGCACACAATACAACCACTCTCTCACTCTCTCTCTCTCTCTCTCTCTCTCTCTCTCTCTCTCTTCACACACACACAAACTACACACCCCTAACAAAAGCCAAACCAAATTATTTTCCAATCCAAATGAGCAACAAATCAAAACCGTTGCAGTGGAAACGAACTCCTAATTGTGGATCTTACTGTTGCTTTGTCGTACCAATTATGTAGCACATAGGAAAGTTTTTTTCTTGCCATTACCTTTCTTTCGCCACCACAATAGCTTTTTCAACAATCCCCTGCCTCCTCTTTTCTTGCTAGGCACAATCGCCAATGAACTGATTACAGCTTCATTGTCGTGAGGTTTAATCCCATTTGAATCGAGAAACCTATCGCTGTCGAGACCAAAGGCAGAATAGGAATATTCATCCAGAAGGGTGGGAGGCTTTGAGGTGCAAATGACTTCCTTTGTATTGGAAGACCTAAGATCTCTGCTTTCAGCATTATCCTCGGCCAGCATTTTATCTAGTAGGGAGGACCTTTCTTTGATGTTCTTCTTTGGGGTGATTGCAGTGACAATTGCACCAGTGGGAACAGAGATGACCTCATTGAAAAGGTTTGTGTCGTCGGGTGTGGCCAATGCTTTCAACTGCTTCCCCAGGTTTAGTATAGTTTCTTGGCACTCTGCCAACTTTTCTGAAGCTGCTATGATCTCCCAATCCTACAAGGTTGATTAGCATTTTGAAGTTTGAACCATGTTGTAAACTTAATTGAGGTAAAATTTGAATCACAATGCCAAAAGTGGAAAGTTTATATGAAACTAGTAGTAGTGCTCCTCCCAATGATAGCTCAAGCTGGACTGAAGATTCAATTAAAAATAAAAATTACAACCAGGCCTTCTTGAAGAGGCTGGCTTCTTTTTGGCACCCGCCCCTTACACTTAGATGATGAAGCAAGGCAAGCCCCGAAGTATTTGTCAAATAGCAAGTAGAGTTGATACAGTTGATTGATTATTTATAAAAACTACGTGCAATTTCTTATTTCTCTGGAAAAAGTGTACACACCAAAAGGAGATAGAATTATGTCCAAAAATGAAGTAAAATATTTAAACTCAAGCAAACTTGTTCTTGTCAGTGAGAAGGTATAAATAACATGACAAATGACTCTAAAATAGACTATGGCATTTTCATCAATATCAGAAGGTAAGAATAGACCTAGAAACTAATATCTATCATTGGTGACCATATCATGACTTAGTTTTGACAAACAGGCATAAAAGATGACAGGAACTTACAGTTCGAAGTTGCTTTTCTTCTTGCTCCATATCATACCCTGGCATTTTCATCTTCACACTGAAAATTGCATAATACAAAAAACTGAGATCGCCTAAAAAATATGGGATTTCCATAAGAACAAAAGCATGAAAATGTACCTTTCTAACTGGAGCTGTTGTTCAAGACACCTAGACTCCGGTTGTTCATGAGTGTTATTTTTATTCTCCAGTGCATTTTCAATAGTAGAAAGCTTTTGGCCAGCCTTGTTGAATTCAACTTTGGCTATTGTAAGCTGTGTATTAAGATCTTCTTCCACCATCCTGTGATTTTCAATCTGCTCCTCAAACATTCCTTTCGACTGTTTCAGAATTTCAGATTCTTTTCGCAAGCTTTCAATTGTTTTTTCTGACTTCTCAAGTCGAGTTATCAAGGATTCATTCTTATAAGTCTCTGACTGGAGTCTCCCCTCTAAATCATTCTTTTCAGATTCAGTATTCTCCAACTCACTTTTTAATCTTCTACTTTCTTCTCTCACCTTGGGCCGAAGTTCTTCCATTTGGGAGATATGGTCATGGACATTCCAAGCTGAAACAATGGGCATACACGACAACTGTTCTTTGGGAACATACAATTTCTCAGCTTCTGAAACTTGACTACTCATTCCACCTTCTACCTCACTCTCACTTTGTGATTCATCCCAATCAAAGTGCTTCTTGATTGCTTCTCTCATGTTTGAAACATCTTGAAGGGAAAAGCAGTGGTTCATAATCCATTCTAAAGCAGAAGTTAACTCTGTGGAAAATCTTTCAAGATCAGCCTTTCCATTTAACAGATCCTTGCAAGTTTGAACAAATTGATGTAGAACAGAACTGAGTTCAGAAGTTTTCCATTGGAACATACGAACCATGTAGCCTGTGGGGTTTTCTGAATTCTCAAAGGATAGGAAACTATCATCCTTCCCAGTCAAGGTATCCATAATACCATTGTCTGGCGATGGTAAACTGATCCCTTCAATAAGCTCAATTGTTTTAAGTATTGACTTATTGAGACTTGACTGGATTTGCTGGCTGCTCTTCTTTGGTGATGAGTTATGTTCACCAGCCACTGTATCCGGTGAATCCTTTCTTGAAGAATTATCTTGAGGTTTCAAAGAAATGTAGCCATTAGCAGGGGGATTTGTGGCCTTAGGATAATTTGAGCTTTGACTCACATCAAATGATTCATTGGAATTCCGATGATTTATACATGCCAAAGCAACTTTGATATCCTCAAGTAATTCGTCAGGAGTTCGCTGGGTTACGTAGCTTTGCTTCAAAATGTCTTCCAATATCTTATTAAGCCAACCAGGAAATTTACCAATCCCCGTAGTCATAGACTGTACTTCCTGGTTAGAGACAGAGAGGCCTGACTGACTGACAGATTCTGGAACCATCTCCCTACCAGATGCTTCCAAGAAATATCCACCTGATTGATTTTTCAAGTGACCATCAGCTGCACTACTGTACTCTGAAACAAGATGAGAATTTCCACATGGTTTATTCATAGAAACGATTGCTAATTTTTCCATCTCAACAAAGTCATCCATCAGTGGTATGTCTGAAGTTCCAACAGATTTGCAAGATGGTGTTCTCATTTGCCTTCCACTTCTGAAATGCTCCAACTCTGACATCAAAGCAGAAGCCCATGATTCGGCGCAGCTAATTTTGTCATCACCGCCCATCTCAGACATTGACGCCAAAGAAAGTTGGTGCAGGGAAGGTAAATTCCTTGCTGGTCCCACTGCTGTCTGACCCCTTGATGATTCTTCCAACTGTGCCTCAACTAGTGATAACTTGGAAGCTGCACGAGCATATGTGTTTCTGAAAAATTGGAGTTCATTTGTTTTCTTGTTAAGCGTGTCTTTGAGAGTGCTGTTTTCTTCTTCCATGACACATAACTGCTCAGTCAGAAAAGTGACCCTTTTACTGGGAGTTTCAGGAGTATTGTCCATAGCAAAGTCCATTGCACTAGCTGGAGAAGGATTTGATTGTTTCCTCCTTGTTCCGGATGGATCCCTGCCCAAAATCTCGACTTCATTCTTCATTTTTGCCAGGGCAGCAGGACCTGGCAACCGCTTTCGAACAAGAAGACGTAGCCTCTGACATTCTGAATCCAATTTTGCAATTTTCTTCACACTCTCCAAGTGTTGTTTGTGTGCTACATCAGCTGTTCGACGATTAAATTCTCTCTCCTCATTCCGAATTTCAAGCTCCTTCTCAAGCACACTAACCTCATACTTCAAAGAAGCATTCTCTTTAGCTTTAGATTCTAGTCTGGTCGTTAGAGCAACAAAATCTGCCTCCGCTTGAGCTCGCTCTTTATTTAAATCTTCAATCACCTTTTCCTTTCCTAAGAGATCCTTACTGAGCTGAGTATTCTCGGCACCTAATTTGACAAGCCTTTTACTGGTCTCTGTTATTTTCTCCTCTAACATAATTCTTGTTTTCTCTGATTCACTGGATGTCTTCATCACAGCATCATGAATCCTTTTCTCTTGCTCTTCTCGAACAAAACGCAGCTGCTGCATACATTCTCTTAGGGCACCATCCAAATGAATTAATCGTTCTTCACCAGCTACTTTCTGCTGTAAAGCTTTACCTAATTCTTGCTTGAATGAGACTGCTTCTGTTTCTGCCTTCTCCCGACCTGAAGAACCATTTATTAGAAGGATAGTTAACTTACCTAATGAGACAAGACTTCTACGGTTGCAAGCTTGTTTGATACTGGAAAACATGGAACTCAAAAACCATGTGCAAATGGAAGAGGGAAGCAGAAATTAAATATACATTTATTTTTATCTGAGATGAGTAGAGACCTGCAATAGCTTCCTGTGCGATTTTGGCCTGCGTCTCTGTGTATTCATCTTTGGCGCTACATTCCAAAAGAGCAGACGACAGCTTCTCATCTAAAATTTTCAGATCTCTCTCCAATTCTGCTTTATCAGTAAGTAGGGTCTGTATATGAAGAGTAACAAATTAGCAATGGCCCCAGGCATTCTCAAATTTAAACTTCAAGCACAAAGATGAATGCCTTCAACTTCAGACATATGCTAGTTACCAGATACAGTGAGCATACCAACTACTGCACTTACATCAATTAATATTATAGTCTATAGACCGATGATTCGTTCACTATACTGCTTTGAAACCAATATTTGTTTGTGCTCTTCAAAATCTGATATGCTTCGGCATTAGCATATGCATATTGGACAAGTCTTCCTCATGTTTTTTTGAAGCATTCCACCAACAAGTAAGCTTAGGTGCTGGAGTAGCTTCCTTTTGTGATTGGGAGTCCAAGCTTTTACAATTACGCTAAGCAATGCTCCCATGCATTTTTTTTTATTGTGCTGACGTGCTTGTGTCCTATATCTGAGATAGCCATATTACATTTTGGGTCACAGCTAAGATGTGCACCCAAACAATTCTACATATTAAGTATCTATAGAATAAAATAAGACAAGTCCTGAACACAAAGCACAATAATAGCCCAAATCATTTAAATCCAACGGATTGTCTTATTATTTACATTTTAACTTTTAACCACAACAAATCCACTTATTTATATTTTAACATTTTAATCGCAGTAAATCTATTCACTTACATTTTAATCACAGTAAAACAAATAGTGCACACGTGTATTGCATGGGTAACCCTAGTTATATTACATAGTCTAGCAACATATGCAGATATTACTTCATGAAAGCAGCTCTCACACGATTATTATATCTTACATACATGCCGATAATCACTTAATTCTTATACACAAAACATAACATGCATCTACAATATCACAAAAATCTTCCCTCATATTTTGCCTCCTTTCATAAAAATTTTTTGTGTCTTACTTTTTCTTTTCTTTTCTTAATAATAGACGATACAACTTTTTCTTTCAGAAGGTAAATAATTTTATTAATCTGAAAAAGAGATACAAGCCCAAAACACGCCATGAAGGCATACAAAAGAGTTTTCTAAAGAGAAAAACCCACAAAATACATCAAGAAGATCAAATATTGCAATGACCTTCAAGACAAACCTACTAGACGGCATACGCATTAATTCTCACTAAAGAATTGCTCAACTCGCAAACCTATTGATTAATACCCAAAAAAATGTTCTGTTCTTACATGGGTCAAGCACTAGATAGATTAAAAAGTCAATCCATCTTTAAGTTAGCCAAGATCAGGAGAGAATCTTGCAATTTTGCAAATCAACATAGATTAGCATCTATCTGTCTTATGATTTTTTGTTTGTCAATCATGCCATTGCTTTTTAGCAACACAAACCACCAAAACATTGTCAGAGAAGCCATAATAGAAACTGACGTGTGTCTAAAACTGAGATACTCATTCTTTTAACTATGTATATGTGTTAATAAGTGTTGGATGTGTTTGACAATATTTTGAGAACCTTCGGCATCTGGCAAAAGTATAACACCTTCATAGAAGTGCCCATGCCTTACTTGAATTGGCAAAATGTTAGAGTATGTGTGGCTCATATTTACTGTGTGCATAATGGCAAGGAGGCAGATGCCGGAGCATGCGGAGTGGAGCGGAGCATGCGGAGTGGAGCGGAGCCCGCGACGGCATCTGTCCCCGCGGTACGGTACAGGGGTATTTTTGTAAATACGTCCGTATTAGGGCTATATAAATACTTAAGATGTAACCCTACTTTGAAAAAAAGAAAAAAAGAACGGCCGCTCGCTCTCGTGGATGTAGGCACATTGCCGAACCACGTAAATCTCTGTGTGTTATTTTCTCCTGCTTTCTTAATTGTTTGATTCCTTACTACTCACCATAATTGTTGCACTATCACAACAACTGGTATCAGAGCTAGACTACGATGTCTGGGATTTCCTCTACAAAATTCGACATCATGAAGTTCGACGGAACTGAGAATTTCGGATTATGGCAGAGGAGGGTGAAGGACCTGTTAGTGCAGCAGGGCATGGTGAAGGCATTATACGGAAAACAACCGGCAGGAATGGACGACATGGATTGGAAAGAATTGGAAGCGAAGGCTGTGGCGACTATTAGGCTTTGTCTGGCTGATGAAGTGATGTATCACGTCATGGATGAGGAATCACCGGCGGAAGTTTGGTTGAAACTGGAAAGTCGGTATATGTCCAAGTCGTTGACGAACAAGCTCTATCTTAAGCAGAAACTATATGGTCTTAAGATGTCAGAGGGCTCGGATTTGACCCAACACATCAACGTGTTCAATCAGATCATCAGCGATCTGAAGCGAGTTGATGTGAAGTTCGAAGACGAAGACAAGGCGCTGATGTTGCTGAATTCCTTACCGGCGTCTCCTACGTACGAGAATTTGGTTACGACTCTGATGTGGGGGAAAGAAACCCTCGAATTGGAGGATGTCACAGGTGCTCTGTTAGGTTTTCATCAGCGGAAGAAAGCCAGTGATGAGGCTTCACAAGGTGAAGGGCTTGTGGTGAAAGGTAACCAGGAACGTGGAAGAAGCAAATCTCGGAATGGATCGGGTAACAATAAAGCCCGGTCCAAGTCAAGGAAGAAGAAGAAGGACGTCTCTGTCTCGTGTTACAAGTGCGAGAAAAAGGGGCACTTTAAACGGGACTGTCCAGAGAAAAAGAAAGGGGATTCAAAGAACAAAGAGGGTGCATCAAAGTCTGCAAACGTAGTGGAAGAAGAAGATTCAGAGAGTGGTGACGGAGATATGCTTTCTGTTTTATCTAGTTCAGATCGTTTAACAGATTCTTGGATTATGGATTCAGCATGTTCCTATCACATGACACCCAACAAAGATTGATTTGACACCTACAGGTCAGTAAATTCTGGTTCTGTTCTGATGGGTAATGATGCATCTTGCAAAGTTGTTGGAATAGGAAATATTAGAATTAAGATGTTTGATGGTATGGTTAGAACGTTGTGTGATGTTAGACATGTACCGGATCTAAGGAAGAATTTGATTTCATTGGGCACTTTGGATTGTAATGGTTATAGTTACAAATCTATAAGTGGAGTAATGAAAGTAAGTAAAGGCATGCTGACAGTGATGAAGGGACAGAAAGTAGTAGGAAACATTTACAGACTGCTGGGTACTACAATTGTAGGTGGAGTTGCTGTTGTAGAGTCTGAATCAGATAATACAGTCTTGTGGCATATGCGGCTGGGTCATATGAGTGAGCGTGGGATGATAGAGCTTCATAAGAAAAATCTATTGAAGGGTGTCAAGACATGCAAGCTCAATTTTTGCAAATATTGTGTTTTTGGAAAACAGAATAGGGTGCAGTTCAAGACAGCCACACACAAGACAGAGGGGGTTCTCGACTATGTCCATACAGATGTTTGGGGACCAGTTAGCGTACTATCACGGGGAGGATACATGTATTTCGTGAGTTTCATTGATGATTACTCACGAAAGGTCTGGGTGTACTTCATGCGGCACAAGTCAGAAGCGTTTGCCAAGTTCAAGCTGTGGAAAGCTGAAGTAGAGAACCAGACAAGGAGGAAGATTAAATGCCTCAGGTCAGATAATGGTACTGAGTACACAGATTCAAAGTTCCAGGAGTTGTGTGAGCAGCATGGGATCAAGAGACACTTCACAGTCCGCAAGACACCACAACAAAATGGTGTAGCGGAAAGGATGAACAGAACGATAGCCGAGAAAGCTTGGTGTCTCAGGTTGAATGCAGGGCTTGCAAAGAATTTCTGGGCAGAGGCAGTGAATATGGCATGTTTCTTGATTAACAGATCACCGAGGGCAGCACTAGATGGGAAAGTATCAGAGGAGGTGTGGACAGGCAGTGAGGTAGACTACTCTGGTTTGAGAGTGTTTGGATGTCCAGCCTATGTACATGTTTCTAGTGAGGAGAGGTCGAAGCTTGATGCGAAGTCTAGATAGTGTATCTTTCTGGGATATCAGAAAGGAGTGAAAGGCTCCAAGCTCTGGGATCCGAAGGCAAACACGATGGTGATTAGTAGAGATGTGGTTTTTGATGAAAAAGCCATGTTGCAGCGTACTCAGGAAGAAGAGAAACAAGTACCAGAAAACTGTAGCACTAATGACCATGTGGTGCAGGTGGAGCTAGAGAATCATGGTAAAGAAGAGGATGCTCAGCATGTAGAGCGTTCTATCTCAGGTGATCAACAACATCATAGTATAGCCACAGACAGGCCCAAACGCAATATCAAGCCACCTACCAGGTATGGTTTTGAAGATTTGGTTTCTTATGCGCTTATTACTAGTAGCGGGGATCCTACAACTTTTCAGGAGGCAGTACAAAGCCAAGAGAAAAGTAGATGGATGGGTGCTATGGTGGAGGAGATGGAGTCTCTGCATAAGAACCAGACGTGGGAGTTGGTGGAACTTCCCGAGGGGAAGAGAGCAATAGGGTGCAAATGGGTGTATAAGAAGAAAGAAGCAGTATCAGAAAATGAGGGAGAAAAATTCAAGGCTCGTCTAGTAGCAAAGGGTTACTCACAGAGAAAAGGGGTTGACTATGATGAGATCTTCTCCCCCGTGGTCAGACACACTTCCATCAGGACAGTGTTGGCACTAGTAGCACATTCAGATATGCAGTTGGAGCAGATGGATGTAAAGACAGCTTTCCTTCATGGCGACTTGGAGGAACGGATTTACATGGTACAGCCAGAAGGGTTCAGTCTCCCTGGAGAGGAACATTTGGTCTGTAATTTGAAGAAATCACTTTATGGGCTGAAGCAGTCTCCGAGGCAGTGGTACAAACGATTTGACTCTTACATGATCCGAATTGGCTACAAAAGGTGTGAGTATGATTGCTGTGTCTATGTAAAAGGGCTTGATGATGATTCATTTATTTTTCTGTTACTTTATGTGGATGATATGTTGATTGCTGCCAAGAGTATGAGTGAGGTCAACAAGTTGAAGACTTTGTTGAGTAGAGAATTTGACATGAAGGATTTGGGTGCGGCCAAGAAGATTCTTGGGATGGAGATTCGCAGGGACAGAGCTTCCAGGAGATTATGGCTATCTCAGCATAGCTATGTTGAGAAGGTGTTGGACAGGTTCAGCATGAGTTATGCAAAATCAGTAAGTACACCTTTGGCGAATCATTTCAGATTGTCTACCGCTCAGTGCCCGAAGACAGATGATGAAGTTCATGACATGTCAAAGGTCCCATATGCTAGTGCAGTGGGGTGTTTGATGTATGTTATGGTTTGTACAAGACCAGATTTGGCACAAGCTGTCAGCGTGGTTAGCAAGTTTCTTTCAAATCCGGGTCGACAGCATTGGGATGCAGTCAAGTGGATTTTCAGATACTTGAGGGGCACTACAGACTATGGCATCAGGTTTAGCAGACAACAGAGTGACCCTTCAGTTATGGGATATGTGGATGCAGACTATGCAGGGGACTTGGATGACAGGAGGTCTACCACAGGTTATGTGTTTACTCTTGTGGGAGGACCTATTTGTTGGAAGTCCATGGTACAACCTATAATTGCACTATCTACTACTGAGTCAGAGTATATGGCAGTAGCTGAGGCTGCCAAAGAGGCTTTGTGGCTTACAGGTTTAGTCAAGGAGCTGGGTGCCCAGCAAGGTGGAGTTCAATTGCATTGTGACAGTCAGAGTGCCATTTATTTGGCAAAGAACCAGGTGTATCATGCGAGGACCAAACATATAGATGTGAGGTTTCATAAGATCAGGGAACTGGTTTCTTCTGGTGAACTATTACTTGAGAAAGTTCACACTTCTGAGAATGCAGCAGACACGTTGACAAAGCCTGCNAGAGCTTCCAGGAGATTATGGCTATCTCAGCATAGCTATGTTGAGAAGGTGTTGGACGGGTTCAGCATAAGTTATGCAAAATCAGTAAGTACACCTTTGGCGAATCATTTCAGATTGTCTACCGCTCAGTGCCCGAAGACAGATGATGAAGTTCATGACATGTCAAAGGTCCCATATGCTAGTGCAGTGGGGTGTTTGATGTATGTTATGGTTTGTACAAGACCAGATTTGGCACAAGCTGTCAGCGTGGTTAGCAAGTTTCTTTCAAATCCGGGTCGACAGCATTGGGATGCAGTCAAGTGGATTTTCAGATACTTGAGGGGCACTACAGACTATGGCATCAGGTTTAGCAGACAACAGAGTGACCCTTCAGTTATGGGATATGTGGATGCAGACTATGCAGGGGACTTGGATGACAGGAGGTCTACCACAGGTTATGTGTTTACTCTTGTGGGAGGACCTATTTGTTGGAAATCCATGGTACAGCCTATAATTGCACTATCTACTACTGAGTCAGAGTATATGGCAGTAGCTGAGGCTGCCAAAGAGCTGGGTGCCCAGCAAGGTAGAGTTCAATTGCATTGTGACAGTCAGAGTGTCATTTATTTGGCAAAGAACCAGGTGTATCATGCGAGGACCAAACATATAGATGTGAGGTTTCATAAGATCAGGGA